CACAGGAGCGGGGCAAGTAGCACGGGCTATGGTGAGCCCGTAGTGGACTTACCTGGCACAGGAGCGGGGCAAGTAGCACGGACTATGGTGAGCCCGTAGTGGACTTACCTGGCACAGAAGCGGGGCAAGTAGCACGGGCTATGGTGAGCCCGTAGTGGACTTACCTGGCACAGAAGCGGGGCAAGTAGCACGGGCTATGGTGAGCCCGTAGTGTACTTACCTGGCACAGAAGCGGGGCAAGTAGCACGGGCTATGGTGAGCCCGTAGTGTACTTACCTGGCACAGGAGCGGGGCAAGTAGCACGGGCTATGGTGAGCCCGTAGTGGACTTACCTGGCACAGGAGCGGGGCAAGTAGCACGGGCTATGGTGAGCCCGTAGTGTACTTACCTGGCACAGAAGCGGGGCAAGTAGCACGGGCTATGGTGAGCCCGTAGTGGACTTACCTGGCACAGGAGCGGGGCAAGTAGCACGGGCTATGGTGAGCCCGTAGTGGACTTACCTGGCACAGAAGCGGGGCAAGTAGCACGGGCTATTGTGAGCCCGTAGTGTACTTACCTGGCACAGGAGCGGGGCACGTAGCACGGGCTATGGTGAGCCCGTAGTGTACTTACCTGGCACAGGAGCGGGGCAAGTAGCACGGGCTATGGTGAGCCCGTAGTGGACTTACCTGGCACAGGAGCGGGGCAAGTAGCACGGGCTATGGTGAGCCCGTAGTGGACTTACCTGGCACAGGAGCGGGGCAAGTAGCACGGGCTATGGTGAGCCCCGTAGTGGACTTACCTGGCACAGGAGCGGGGCAAGTAGCACGGGCTATGGTGAGCCCGTAGTGGACTTACCTGGCACAGGAGCGGGGCAAGTAGCACGGGCTATGGTGAGCCCGTAGTGGACTTACCTAGCACAGGAGCGGGGCAAGTAGCACGGGCTATGGTGAGCCCGTAGTGGACTTACCTGGCACAGGAGCGGGGCAAGTAGCACGGGCTATGGTGAGCCCGTAGTGGACTGAGGTATCAGGTTCGCCTTGGTGAAACAGGTGGCACATTTCCTTTATAGACCATACCCGTCACTAACGTACCCTGTGCCAGCCTCGTCACTCTCAGCACCTCCCAACCACCCAATTATCCTGGAGAGCTTCGTCAAGACTGCGGTATGGGAGGTAGTCGTCAGGAGAAAGCACCAAGCCATAATGACTATGTAGCACTGGGAAGGGATCAGGATAAGGATTTGGGATGGGACTGGGTGAAAGAAATGGTGCCCCAACCACTTGGACAGTCGGGGATTGAACGCCGACCTGCATGAAGCGAGACGGACGCTCTACCGTCCAGTCCAAACGAGGGACGCAGCTCCTGGGCCCCTCGGCCTCATCCCACCCACAACCTGATATCACTAGAATTGATTTTAATTTTTAATTTTCTACAGAAAACAAAAGATGATGATGATATGGGAGAATATGTTAGAAAAGCTACGATGTAACTACTGACTCTAACAATCATAGCTTGGCTGGGGCCAGAGAGCTGGAACTCTATATAGTTTATGGCATTTCTTAGTCCAAATGAGGAAGCTTCAACAATTTATATTTATAGTTCACGAGTGAGGCATTTTTAAGACATAGGCTTTGGCGATGTGTTGAAACATTGCAAGAAGCCTTCAACATTCCATGAATGTTGATGTGAACCATATATATCCCTTATCCTTCCTCAGATCAAGTGGTAAGCCATGTCAATTTGAATTCCATTAGCGGGTGCAGGCGATGAGTCACAATACCGTGGCTGAAGTATGTTGACCAGACCACACACTAGAAGGTGAAGGGACGACGACGTTTCGGTCCGTCTTGGACCATTAAACAATTGACTTCAGAATGGTCCAGGACGGACCGAAACATCGTCGTCCCTTCATTTTCTAGTGTGTGGACTGGTCTCCATTAGCGGATGTATGACTGACTAGCAGACACACACGCCAGATTAGCAGTGTCGTTATGTACTTGGCAGGACTAAGTCTGGGTAATGTATTACATAGTGAACCAAGTCATTACTTTAGCCTGGGATAAGGTAACGCTTACTTGAGCAGCTTAGTGTGAGCGCCAGGGAGATCAAGGCTCACAGGTGATGTTATCTAGACAAGTTTATACTGTGGCAAGTGATTTGTGACCTAGCAGTAAGGGGATTCGTGACCCTAACCTGGATTCTTGTTTGACCATTTAATGACTTCATGGGCAGCCTGGATGCCAGTGATAGAGGAAGGGGCAGTGAATACCACTGTGAACAATGCGCTGTGTTCATCAGTTTATTTTTTTTAATACATGAGGTACATCTGTATTAGTGCAGCTACCCTAGACTATATGAAGTGGAGTACAGTGTGTCAAAAAAGCTAACTAGGTGATGCTATAAAATCCCCATCACACAGGATGGTTAGTCATACAGAGGCATGTGATAAGCGGTCTGCACTGGCAGACTCAGGATGCATTTTGAGGATATCAACAACACAAGATTGAATAAGGTAGCAGTGGTAATACAAGTCCCCATCTCGCAGGATGGTTAGTCATACAGGGCCATGTGTTTAGTAGCCTGCACTGGCAAATTTTGGGTATACTGTGAGGATATCTTCAAGAATACGAGAGTGAATAAAGTAATTGCAGAGCTCCAGGTACCTCATGCCAACTGGTCTGAAAGGTCTAATAACTGGGTATTCAGTGATGTAGTGCGGGAGATCGTGCCGTAGTTCCTGCTCACAGAGTTTGCAACTGGAGTGCTCAGGATTGGGAGATCCGTCACCTGCAGCCACCTGCCACAGGTAACGGTAACCCAACCTGATCCTTGCAACCACTGTGTCGCACAGTCTAGTGGACGTTTTGAGCTGTCCATAGATGTAGGTTTCATATCTGAACAAATCATAGCTTTTTATACTAGTACTTTCAGGTCGTTGGGAGTCAGTAAGTTCTTTCCTGTCAGACCTGAGTGTTCGAAACAACATAGTTTTGACAGCAGAGATGGGGATACCTAGATCTAATTCAACTTCAGACTTGTTACACGCTAATTTGGCTGCAATGTCTGTCTCATTATGATGGGGTGCTGCTCCTGCCGAGCAGAGGTAGTGGCAAACTCTATGGATCAAGTACTTCCCATTTCGTTAACGCACAAGAGCCCGAAAATGTTTGTAGGTAAAGTTTGGCAGCTCTTGACGTGGAGCTGACACGGGGCTTTGTCTTGACGTAGAGCTGACACGGGGCTTTGTCTTGACGTAGAGCTGACACGGGGCTTTGTCTTGACGTGGAGCTGACACGGGGCTTTGTCTTGACGTAGAGCTGACACAGGGCTTTGTCTTGACGTAGAGCTGACACAGGGCTTTGTCTTGACGTAGAGCTGACACAGGGCTTTGTCTTGACGTAGAGCTGACACAGGGCTTTGTCTTGACGTAGAGCTGACACAGGGCTTTGTCTTGACGTACAGCTGACACAGGGCTTTGTCTTGACGTAGAGCTGACACAGGGCTTTGTCTTGACGTAGAGCTGACACAGGGCTTTGTCTTGACGTAGAGCTGACACAGGGCTTTGTCTTGACGTGCAGCTGACACCGGGCTTTGTCTTGACGTGCAGCTGACACCGGGCTTTGTCTTGACGTGCAGCTGACACAGGGCGTTGTCTTGACGTACAGCTGACACCGGGCTTTGTACCGGGGGGTGGGGGAAATAGCTCTATCCTGTCCATTATTCCACCCCCCAGTTAACTAACGAGGCCGGGGGAAACAGCTCTCTCTAGTCCGTTATCCCGTCCCCAGTTAGCTAACTATTCTAGAGCACTCCCAGAGATCCTAAGGCAACCTCTCTCGTTCAACACCTTGTAACCTAGGTATTTGACTACCTAGGTGCTAAGACTACAAGGCGCCGTCACTTGATCAGTTACCCGAAACTCTAGAGAGAACTCTAGAATACAAAATCATGGCCACAAACGTATAAGAGAAAACGAGAGGAAAGAAATGAATAGTGAAGTAATTAGTGAGGGTTTGGGGTGAGAGGGAGAGAGGTGGGAGGAGCGAGGAGGGTCATTAGTTGAAAGTGAGAGTTTAGAGAGGGGTGGAGGGAGAGGTGTAGATAGGTAGAAGTAGAAGAGTAGACAGTAGAAGTAGAAGAGTAGATAGTAGAAGTAGAAGAGTAAATAGTAGAAGACGAAATGCTGCCACCATCCATTCATGATCATTACATACAAGACAAGGAATGGAACTTGCCTGTATCACAATATTCACCAAAGATGTTATAAAGAGATCATTATTAGTATGGTCCCATCTTTATCATGTACTCATTCTAAACCATGGAACCAGTAACCCCAGAGGCTTTCTCACCTCAACTCAAAGCTCTAGGGAACAAAGTTAAACACAATTTAAATAATAAATTCATAATTATATTTCCCATGAAGTATCATAATTTAGCAATTCAATTAAAATGTTCCAGTTTAATATGCAAAGTGAGTCATCATCCAAGAATTCGAGAACCCTACAACTTGACTGCCCCTAATCATCACACAACATATGTAAACACGACCAAGTCACCTTAATGCTCAACTCACCAAGTGTCTCTGCCTATAGCTGGATAGAGAGGTGGGGGGGGGGGGTCTGTAGTTGACAGAGACTCCCGCCCTGCCGGCCGACAGCCTCCCTGATAGGGCTGTCTTCTCTGCTCTGCTGGCTCGTCTGCTGTTCTTTTGATGCTAATGCTCTATGCTCCCTCAGTATATATTGGGGACCCTAGTACTAACTCCGCCCACAAGTAGATAGCCTCCGGCACTACCAAGCTACTCCTTAAACGTCGGCATGTTTGAAGGCTACCAGACTACAATTATAAGCTTAGCGGAAGCAAGGTGAAATTCTCATGATCTGACCTCAGGTCACTTGAGGTCATTAACGCTTTGAGGTGTGAGATCTCAGACCGACAAACTGGCGCCTTCTCTAATCCCTGTCTGTGACTCATGTACTCTATGTATGTATTAAACTAAACCAAACACTTTTACAGTGTTACAACGTGCAGCTGACACCGGGCTTTGTCTTGACGTGCAGCTGACACAGGGCTTTGTCTTGACGTGCAGCTGACACAGGGCTTTGTCTTGACGTGCAGCTGACACAGGGCTTTGTCTTGACGTGCAGCTGACACAGGGCTTTGTCTTGACGTGCAGCTGACACCGGGGCTTTGTCTTGACGTGCAGCTGACACCGGGGCTTTGTCTTGACGTGCAGCTGACACCGGGGCTTTGTCTTGACGTAGAGCTGACACCGGGGCTTTGTCTTGACGTGCAGCTGACACCGGGGCTTTGTCTTGACGTAGAGCTGACACCGGGGCTTTGTCTTGACGTAGAGCTGACACAGGGCTTTGTCTTGACGTAGAGCTGACACCGGGGCTTTGTCTTGACGTAGAGCTGACACAGGGCTTTGTCTTGACGTAGAGCTGACACAGGGCTTTGTCTTGACGTGGAGCTGACACAGGGCTTTGTCTTGACGTACAGCTGACACAGGGCTTTGTCTTGACGTAGAGCTGACACGGGGCTTTGTCTTGACGTGGAGCTGACACAGGGCTTTGTCTTGACGTAGAGCTGACACGGGGCTTTGTCTTGACGTGGAGCTGACACAGGGCTTTGTCTTGACGTGCAGCTGACACAGGGCTTTGTCTTGACGTGGAGCTGACACCGGGGCTTTGTCTTGACGTAGAGCTGACACAGGGCTTTGTCTTGACGTACAGCTGACACCGGGGCTTTGTCTTGACGTAGAGCTGACACGGGGCTTTGTCTTGACGTGGAGCTGACACAGGGCTTTGTCTTGACGTAGAGCTGACACAGGGCTTTGTCTTGACGTGCAGCTGACACCGGGGCTTTGTCTTGACGTGCAGCTGACACAGGGCTTTGTCTTGACGTAGAGCTGACACAGGGCTTTGTCTTGACGTGCAGCTGACAACTGGTAACTCGGTGTCAGGAAGCACTGGTCGCCATTGTGTCATCTGGTGGCTCCGATTAGGAATATTTTGTATGACGTGATCATATCCCATCGTTTTCTGTGATTTATTTCCAGCCCATTCTCCCAAATGTAAGTTATTTATAGCAAACGTTTGGTAGAAAGAACCAGTATAACTTGATGAACCAACAGATAGTTGAATTTTGTATTAATGAATTAAACCGTCTCCGTGGTGTAGTGGTAAGACACTCGCCTGGCGTTCCGCGAGCGCTATGTCATGGGTTCGTATCCTGGCCGGGGAGGATTTACTGGGCGCAATTCCTTAACTGTAGCCTCTGTTTAACTCAACAGTAAAATGTGTACTTGGTTGTAACAAGGATTCTTCGCGGCGGGGATCGTATTCCAGGGACCTGCCCGAAACGCTACGCGTACTAGTGGCTCTACAACCATGTAACAACTCTTCTATATATCTCAAAAAAAAAAAAAAAAAAAAAAAAAAAAAAAAATTTGGACAAACCGGAAATTTTATCAGAAATGTAAATAAAAGACCTAACCAATGAACCAACCCTGGTAGGTGTCTCGGAGAGGCTGCAGGGTCCCAGTAAGGTCAGTAGAACTTCTGGTTACAACTCTTTTGACCATGTCCTAGTAATGATAGGCCTAATGCACGCTATTGTACGCCTAATATAGTACATATATGTGCTATACTAGGCCTAGGAATATATAAGTTTGGCTTTTAGCATTATTTTTCCTGACTCTATTACAAGTGCATAGAACATGGTGTTGTATACACTTGTAATAACCTCACAGGTGTTATCTTGAGATATCTTGAGATGATTTCGGGGCTTTAGTGTCCCCGCGGCCCGGTCCTCGACCAGGCCTCCACCCCCAGGAAGCAGCCCGTGACAGCTGACTAACACCCAGGTACCTATTTTACTGCTAGGTAACAGGGGCATTTAGGGTGAAAGAAATTTTGCCCATTTGTTTCTGCCTCGTGCGGGAATCGAACCCGCGCTACAGAATTACGAGTCCTGCGCGCTATCCACCAGGCTACGAGGCCCCTCGTGTTGTGCGCTGTTCTCAAATACATATTTTGATTTTGATGAGACGCGGTGATCTAAGGTGGTGGCGCTCAGGTATGACAGCAAGGGTGAAGCCGGTTGGGTATTGCACCAGTTCGTGCCCCGGATGCTTGCTTAAGACGAGCTTTTTGTTATAAATTCTTGACTCCCGGATGCTGCGTCACCTGTCGACACGAGAGCACATCTCAAGATGAAATATCCTCGGCTTCAGACGGCAATGTTGCTGGAATGTCGCGGAGGATTAGAGTCCAGGGGGCCAGATTCACGAAGTAGTTACGCAAGCACTTACGAACCTGTGCATCTTTTCTCAATCTTTGGCGACTTTGTTTACAATTATTAAACAGTTAATGAGCTCCAAAGCACCAGGAGGCTGTTTATAACAATAACAACAGTTGATTGGCAAGTTTTCATGCTTGTAAACTGTTTAATAAATGTAACCAAAGCCATCAAAGATTGAGGAAAGATGTACACGTTCGTAAGTACTTGCGTAACGGCTTCATGAATCTGGCCCCCTGGTGTTCGCTCGAGTTATAAGATCACACACACAGCCGCCATCATTGAGAAAAGATATACAGGTTTCGTAAATTCTTGACGGATCCTGACCTCAGGTAAAGAGAACCTTGAGATTGCGTAGTTAGCGTCGTTAATTGAGTTGATCACACCACACACTAGAAGGTGAAGGGACGACGACGTTTCGGTCCGTCCTGGACCATTCACAATCGACTTGAGAATGGTCCAATACGAACCGAAACGTGGTCGTCCCTTCACCTTCTAGTGTGTGGTCTGGTCAACATACATCAGCCAGGTTATTGTGACTCATCGCCTGCATAAAGAATTGGTAATTGAGTACAAATGTCGTCAAAGGGACGACTCTTCCCTGTATGAGCTGCGTCCAAAACACGAAATAAAAAGTGGTTCAACACCAAGGCCACGAGGCCCTACTTGTTAATGGCAGCCCCAAGTTCTTCCTCCGGAGGTCGGTAGTGGTGGGGACATTGTTGTACAGGCGAGGCCAACCCTTGCTTAGAGGTCACTACTGGCTATATACCTCCCTCCACACACCTGACACTTGTGGCACTCATTGACGCAGTGGCTGACACTCGGGGCACTCATTGACGCAGTGGCTGACACTCGGGGCACTCATTGGTACAGTGGCTGACACTCGGGGCACTCATTGACGCAGTGGCTGACACTCGGGGCACTCATTGGTGCAGTGGCTGACACTCGGGGCACTCATTGACGCAGTGGCTGACACTCGGGGCACTCATTGACGCAGTGGCTGACACTCGGGGCACTCATTGGTGCAGTGGCTGACACTCGGGCACTCATTGACGCAGTGGCTGACACTCGGGGCACTCATTGGTGCAGTGGCTGACACTCGGGGCACTCATTGACGCAGTGGCTGACACTCGGGGCACTCATTGACGCAGTGGCTGACACTCGGGGCACTCATTGGTGCAGTGGCTGACACTCGGGGCACTCATTGACGCAGTGGCTGACACTCGGGGCACTCATTGACGCAGTGGCTGACACTCGGGGCACTCATTGACGCAGTGGCTGACACTCGGGGCACTCATTGACGCAGTGGCTGACACTCGGGGCACTCATTGGTGCAGTGGCTGACACTCGGGGCACTCATTGGTGCAGTGGCTGACACTCGGGGCACTCATTGACGCAGTGGCTGACACTCGGGGCACTCATTGACGCAGTGGCTGACACTCGGGGCACTCATTGACGCAGTGGCTGACACTCGGGGGCACTCGTGTCACTCATTGCTTCAAGGTCGACTCACCTGAAAACTCATGACAGTCTTGACTACAAGCGCGACAAAGGCCTGAGGATGGTGATGGTGAGACGTGAGAGATGGTGACAAGTGAGGGTGGTGAGAGGTGAGGGTGATCACCACATGCAGAGTCACCATTCACCAAGGTGGGCCTCAACCACACCCCCATACTCAGCCCAATATTTAGTTTAGTCATTAATATTGGTGATCTGGTCCGGGGTGAGCTCTGCCACAGGAATATCTTATGGTATGGCCACATAATATATTCTGGCCCTCAGGAATATCTCTCCAATTTGCCTATATTGGAAATAATTATCTCGGCGATCTTTATCAAGATAAACGGAAGGAAAGACTATAGCCGGGCTTATCACAAAGTGGAATTATAATAACGTGAATCTCTTCCTTCTGGAGAGGACCTGAAAGCCCGTCTTGTGGGTGACTGGACATGTTGTACATAAGACGCTCCCTCTTCTCTCTGTTTCTCTCTCTCTTCTCTTTCTTCTCTCTCCTTGCTTCTTACTTGCTCGTTAGACCCGACGCTGGTCTATGGTTAACTTAAGGTTCTTGAACCATGGGGTAAAGCTGTGTCGTGAGCTGGTAGACGAACCTTCCCGACTTGCAGTATCACACACCTTCAGTATGTTGTTGATGATATTGTTCAAGGATGCTGTGAGCACCCACCAGCGCCCTCGGAGCGGCCCATCGTGACACCAGTGATGTGTGGCGGCGAGGGAGGATGTGTTGCCGTGTGAGGCACTCACGGAGCGACCTGTGTGCCAGCACACACCACGGCTGTAGAGGCCAGCCTCGGTCCTTACCGACCTCTGAACATACACCCTCGGTCCTGACCGATCTGTTCTATCATCCATCTTTTTTTTCCATCTGGTGACAATATGAGAGAGATGGGAAGGCGGGCGGCTCGGAGTGAGGGAGAGAAAGAGAGGGACAGGGATAGGAGAGATTGCGGGAAGTCAGCATGTCCTTGAAGACTATCCTTACATGGTGCTGGTGTTTACGGCAAGCACAGACTTGCCGCCAGACGACAGCGGTCTAGAGTAATGCTGACGGAGTCCACTGTCGGTCTCTGAGGCGGTTTCCATCCCTTCCAGCGGCGTCATCTCTTCCAGGATGCTCCAACTCTCTTCCAGGATGCTCCAACCCTTTCCAGGTTGCCCCAACCCCTTCCAGGATGCTCCAACCCTTTCCAGGTTGCCCCAACCCCTTCCAGGATGCTCCAACTCTCTTCCAGGATGCTCCAACCCTTTCCAGGTTGCCCCAACCCCTTCCAGGATGCTCCAACCCTTTCCAGGTTGCCCCAACCCCTTCCAGGATGCTCCAACTCCCTTCCAGGATGCTCCAACTCCCTTCCAGGATGCTCCAACTCCCTTCCAGGTTGCCCCAACCCCTTCCAGGATGCTCCAACTCTCTTCCAGGATGCTCCAACTCCCTTCCAGGATGCTCCAACTCCCTTCCAGGATGCTCCAACTCCCTTCCAGGATGCTCCAACTCCCTTCCAGGTTGCCCCAACCCCTTCCAGGATGCTCCAACTCCCTTCCGGGATGCTCCAACTCCCTTCCAGGTTGCCCCAACCCCTTCCAGGATGCTCCAACTCCCTTCCAGGATGCTCCAACTCTCTTCCAGGATGCTCCAACTCCCTTCCAGGATGCTCCAACTCCCTTCCAGGATGCTCCAACTCCCTTCCAGGATGCTCCAACTCTCTTCCAGGATGCTCCAACTCCCTTCCAGGATGCTCCAACTCCCTTCCAGGTTGCCCCAACCCCTTCCAGGATGCTCCAACTCTCTTCCAGGATGCTCCAACTCCCTTCCAGGATGCTCCAACTCCCTTCCAGGATGCTCCAACTCCCTTCCAGGATGCTCCAACTCCCTTCCGGGATGCTCCAACTCTCTTCCAGGATGCTCCAACCCTTTCCAGGATGCTCCAACTCTCTTCCAGGATGCTCCAACCCTTTCCGGGATGCTCCAACCCTTTCCAGGATGCTCCAACCCTTTCCAGGATGCTCCAACCCTTTCCAGGATGCTCCAACTCTCTTCCAGGATGCTCCAACCCTCTTCCAGGATGCTCCAACCCTTTCCAGGATGCTGCAACTCTCTTCCAGGATGCTCCAACTCTCTTCCAGGATGCTCCAACCCCTTCCAGCTGACTCCATCATAAGGCCAGCCTGTCTTCAGACGCGGTGAGGACAATCCCCGCACTGTTGTCTGGGGGAAACAGTTTGCCTGTTTTAAATGGTTGATAAGTTTCCCACAATACACAACAGGAAACTGTCCCGTTGTCTTCAGTTCTGTTGTTGTTCCAGTCCTTCCACTTGTTCAGCCTTCCTGCTTCTCTGGTCCTGTTGTTGTTCCAGTCCTTCCACTTGTTCAGCCTTCCTGCTTCTCTGGTCCTGTTGTTGTTCCAGTCCTTCCACTTGTTCAGTCTTCCTGCTTCTCTGGTCCTGTTGTTGTTCCAGTCCTTCTACTTGTTCAGCCTTCCTGCTTCTCTGGTCCTGTTGTTGTTCCAGTCCTTCTACTTGTTCAGTCTTCCTGCTTCTCAGGTCCTGTTGTTGTTCCAGTCCTTCCACTTGTTCAGTCTTCCTGCTTCTCTGGTCCTGTTGTTGTTCCAGTCCTTCCACTTGTTCAGTCTTCCTGCTTCTCTGGTCCTGTTGTTGTTCTGCTCCAACTGTTGCTTCGGTCCAGTTCCAATTCTCGTGTTGTTTTAGAGGTGTTGTCCTTGTATTATTGCTTCCATTTTTAGATCTTTTGTTGTTCGGTTCTTCTGTTCTCCAGTTATACTGTACTTTCCTCAACTTGTGTTCCAGTTATACTGTACTCTTGCTTTATTATTTTCTGTTCGTAGAACAGAAAATGTTCAAGACCCGTTGCGTTCGAGTCCTGTACTGAACCGACCAAGAAGTTCTACAACTTTGTTCTCCATTCCTGTCGTGTTGACCAGACCACACACTAGACGGTGAAGGGACGACGACGTTTCGGTCCGTCCTGGACCATTCTCAAGTCGATTGTGAATGGTCCAGGACGGACCGAAACGTCGTCGTCCCATCACCTTCTAGTGTGTGGACTGGTCAACATACTTTAGCCACGTTATTGTGACTCATCGCCTCCGTTCCCGTTGTTTCAAGAGTGATGAGTTCCAGCACGTTCCCGTTGTTTCAAGAGTGATGAGTTCCAGCACGTTCCCGTTGTTTCAAGAGTGATGAGTTCCAGCACGTTCCCGTTGTTTCAAGAGTGATGAGTTCCAGCACGTTCCCGTTGTTTCAAGAGTGATGAGTTCCAGCACGTTCCCGTTGTTTCAAGAGTGATGAGTTCCAGCACGTTCCCGTTGTTTCAAGAGTGATGAGTTCCAGCACGTTCCCGTTGTTTCAAGAGTGATGAGTTCCAGCACGTTCCCGTTGTTTCAAGAGTGATGAGTTCCAGCACGTTCCCGTTGTTTCAAGAGTGATGAGTTCCAGCACGTTCCCGTTGTTTCAAGAGTGATGAGTTCCAGCACGTTCCCGTTGTTTCAAGAGTGATGAGTTCCAGCACGTTCCCGTTGTTTCAAGAGTGATGAGTTCCAGCACGTTCCCGTTGTTTCAAGAGTGATGAGTTCCAGCACGTTCCCGTTGTTTCAAGAGTGATGAGTTCCAGCACGTTCCCGTTGTTTCAAGAGTGATGAGTTCCAGCACGTTCCCGTTGTTTCAAGAGTGATGAGTTCCAGCACGTTCCCGTTGTTTCAAGAGTGATGAGTTCCATCACGTTCCCGTTGTTTCAAGAGTGATGAGTTCCAGCACGTTCCCGTTGTTTCAAGAGTGATGAGTTCCAGCACGTTCCCGTTGTTTCAAGAGTGATGAGTTCCAGCACCCATTCCAGTTGTGCTGTTTGAAGGCATCTGTTTCATCCAGTCTTAGTGCTTTGCTGTTCTTTAGTTCCGTTCATCAACCCAGAGGTTCTTGATTATTTTCAAGTTCTGCTGTTAACCTATATTGGTGTGTTCTGTTTGTTCTTTTAATCAGCTTTTATTCAGTACTATTTTATCTAATCCTTCTGGTGTCCACTGCTATTGTTTCAGTCCTACTGTTCTCCAAGGCTGCTGTGTTACAGTCCTACTGTTCTCCATGGCTGCTGTGTTACAGTCCTACTGTTCTCCAAGGCTGCTGTGTTACAGTCCTACTGTTCTCCATGGCTGCTGTGTTACAGTCCTACTGTTCTCCAAGGCTGCTGTGTTACAGTCCTACTGTTCTCCATGGCTGCTGTGTTACAGTCCTACTGTTCTCCATGGCTGCTGTGTTACAGTCCTACTGTTCTCCAAGGCTGCTGTGTTACAGTCCTACTGTTCTCCAAGGCTGCTGTGTTACAGTCCTACTGTTCTCCATGGCTGCTGTGTTACAGTCCTACTGTTCTCCATGGCTGCTGTGTTACAGTCCTACTGTTCTCCATGGCTGCTGTGTTACAGTCCTACTGTTCTCCATGGCTGCTGTGTTTCAGTCCTACTGTTCTCCATGGCTGCTGTGTTACAGTCCTACTGTTCTCCATGGCTGCTGTGTTACAGTCCTACTGTTCTCCATGGCTGCTGTGTTTCAGTCCTACTGTTCTCCATGGTTGCTGTGTTTCAGTCGCACTGTTCTCCATGGTTGCTGTGTTTCAGTCGCACTGTTCTCCATGGCTGCTGTGTTACAGTCCTACTGTTCTCCATGGCTGCTGTGTTTCAGTCCTACTGTTCTCCATGGTTGCTGTGTTTCAGTCGCACTGTTCTCCATGGTTGCTGTGTTTCAGTCGCACTGTTCTCCATGGCTGCTGTGTTTCAGTCGCACTGTTCTCCATGGCTGCTGTGTTTCAGTCGCACTGTTCTCCAAGGCTGCTGTGTTTCAGTCCTACTGTTCTCCATGGCTGCTGTGTTTCAGTCCTACTGTTCTCCATGGCTGCTGTGTTTCAGTCCTACTGTTCTCCATGGCTGCTGTGTTTCAGTCCTACTGTTCTCCATGGCTGCTGTGTTTCAGTCCTACTGTTCTCCATGGCTGCTGTGTTTCAGTCCTACTGTTCTCCATGGCTGCTGTGTTTCAGTCCTACTGTTCTCCATGGCTGCTGTGTTTCAGTCCTACTGTTCTCCATGGCTGCTGTGTTTCAGTCCTACTGTTCTCCATGGCTGCTGTGTTTCAGTCCTACTGTTCTCCATGGCTGCTGTGTTTCAGTCCTACTGTTCACCATGGCTGCTGTGTTTCAGTCGCACTGTTCACCATGGTTGCTGTGTTTCAGTCCTAATGTTCACCATGGCTGCTGTGTTTCAGTCCTACTGTTCTCCATGGCTGCTGTGTTTCAGTCGCACTGTTCTCCATGGCTGCTGTGTTTCAGTCCTACTGTTCTCCATGGCTGCTGTGTTTCAGTCCTACTGTTCTCCATGGCTGCTGTGTTTCAGTCGTACTGTTCACCATGGTTGCTGTGTTTCAGTCCTACTGTTCTCCATGGCTGCTGTGTTTCAGTCCTACTGTTCTCCATGGCTGCTGTGTTTCAGTCGCACTGTTCTCCAAGGCTGCTGTGTTTCAGTCGTACTGTTCTCCAAGGCTGCTGTGTTTCAGTCGTACTGTTCACCATGGTTGCTGTGTTTCAGTCGCACTGTTCTCCAGGGTTTTTCAGTCGTGTTCTCCAAATTTTGTGCTCCAGTGCTGCTGTTCTCAGGATACTATGTTCTCCAGCTGTCGTCTTCAGCTCTCTGTAAACCAATCAAGTTGAGGTCGTGACGTTGTTGTCTTAGATTTAGCTACTCAGAACAAAATGTTCATGCAGCACGGGTTATAGCGATCCCCTAACCTGTCGAGACGCGCTCGACCGGCCTTCATATCATGGCTACATGAACCAGGTGATGACGTAGAGGAAGCGGAGTGGAGGCTGGCAGAGCCCGCGAGAGTAGTGGGGACAGATGTTATATTGTCAACAATGGCCGCCAACCTTCACCCTCCACCACACTGAGTAATTCCTCTCGCCTTCACCTTTCACATCCACCAGGCTCCACTTATCATAGCGCTTACCCGCGGCTGCCTGTCTGTCCGCTTCCGCTCACACGATTCAAATATTGATTCACCATTTATCGGCAGAAAGATAGTAAACAATGGGACTCCATGAAGGCATAAAAGGAAGAATGTGTTTTTTTGTGTTGGTGTGGAGCAAGAGGAGGGTGTGGAGCCTTGACTGAGGCAGGATCATAGCACCGTTGGCTCCCCACCACCGCCACACCCTGACATTTGACGCCAGTATTATCCTCCTTATAAATACTTGTTTTCTGCTCCGGACCGCGTTAGTCCTTTGTTGGTTTGGGCAGCGTCACTCTGCACATGTGTGCTAGTGTGTACACCCGGGGTGGGAAGGTTGGTGGCGCCACACCTGCTGTGTTGCCACGGTGCTGGTGTGTACACCCGGGGTGGGAAGGTTGGTGGCGCCACACCTGCTGTGTTGCCACGGTGCTGTTGGGGGTACTGGGTGGTGGAGGGTACTGGTGGTGGAGGGTACTGGGTGATGGAGGGTACTGGTGGTGGAGGGTACTGGTGGTGGAGGGTACTGGTGGTGGAGGGTACTGGGTGATGGAGGGTACTGGGTGGTGGTGGAGGGTACTGGGTGGTGGAGGGTACTGGTGGTGGAGGGTAATGGGTGGTGGTGGAGGGTAATGGGTGGTGGTGGAGGGTACTGGGTGGTGGAGGGTACTGGGTGGTGGAGGGGTAATGGGTGATGGAGGGTACTGGTGGTGGAGGGTACTGGTGGTGGAGGGTACTGGTGGTGGAGGGTACTGGTGGTGGAGGGTACTGGGTGGTGGAGGGTACTGGGTGATGGAGGGTACTGGGTGGTGGTGGAGGGTACTGGGTGGTGGAGGGTACTGGTGGTGGAGGGTACTGGGTGGTGGTGGAGGGTACTGGGTGGTGGTGGAGGGTACTGGGTGGTGGAGGGGTACTGGGTGATGGAGGGTACTGGGTGATGGAGGGTACTGGGTGGTGGTGGAGGGGTACTGGGTGGTGGTGGAGGGGTACTGGTGGTGGAGGGTACTGGTGGTGGAGGGTACTGGTGATGGAGGGTACTGGTGGTGGAGGGTACTGGTGGTGGAGGGAGGGTACTGGTGGTGGAGGGTACTGGTGGTGGAGGGTACTGGGTGGTGGAGGGGTACTGGTGGTGGAGGGTACTGGGTGGTGGAGGGATACTGGGTGGTGGAGGGTACTGGGTTGTGGAGGGTACTGGTGGTGGAGGGTACTGGTGGTGGAGGGGTACTGGTGGTGGAGGGTACTGGGTGGTGGAGGGTACTGGGTGGTGGAGGGGTACTGGGTGGTGGAGGGTACTGGTGGTGGAGGGGTACTGGTGGTGGAGGGTACTGGGTGGTGGAGGGGTACTGGTGGTGGAGGGTACTGGTGGTGGAGGGTACTGGTGGTGGAGGGTAGTGGTGGTGGAGGGTACTGGGTGATGGAGGGTACTGGGTGGTGGTGGAGGGTACTGGTGGTGGAGGGTACTGGGTGGTGGAGGGCACTGGTGGTGGAGGGTACTGGGTGGTGGAGGGGTACTGGTGGTGGAGGGTACTGGGTGGTGGAGGGTACTGGTGGTGGAGGGTACTGGGTGGTGGAGGGTACTGGGTGGTGGAGGGTACTGGTGGTGGAGGGTACTGGTGGTGGAGGGTACTGGTGGTGGAGGGTACTGGGTGGTGGAGGGTACTGGTGGTGGAGGGTACTGGTGGTGGAGGGTACTGGGTGGTGGAGGGGTACTGGGTGGTGGAGGGGTACTGGTGGTGGAGGGTACTGGTGGTGGAGGGTACTGGGTGGTGGAGGGGTACTGGTGGTGGAGGGTACTGGGTGGTGGAGGGGTACTGGGTGGTGGAGGGGTACTGGTGGTGGAGGGTACTGGGTGGTGGAGGGTACTGGTGGTGGAGGGGTACTGGGTGGTGGAGGGTACTGGTGGTGGAGGGTACTGGGTGGTGGAGGGGTACTGGGTGGTGGAGGGTACTGGTGGTGGAGGGTACTGGTGGTGGAGGGGTACTGGGTGGTGGAGGGTACTGGGTGGTGGAGGATACTGGTGGTGGAGGGTACTGGTGGTGGAGGGTACTGGGTGGTGGAGGGGTACTGGGTGGTGGAGGGTACTGGTGGTGGAGGGTACTGGTGGTGGAGGGGTACTGGGTGGTGGAGGGTACTGGGTGGTGGAGGATACTGGTGGTGGAGGGTACTGGGTGGTGGAGGGTACTGGTGGTGGAGGGGTACTGGGTGGTGGAGGGTACTGGTGGTGGAGGGTACTGGGTGGTGGAGGGGTACTGGGTGGTGGAGGGTACTGGGTGGTGGAGGGTACTGGGTGGTGGAGGGTACTGGGTGGTGGAGGGTACTGGGTGGTGGAGGATACTGGTGGTGGAGGGGACACCTGGTTGATGGGGTTCTGGGAGTAGTTCTACTCCCCAAGCCCGGCCCGAGGCCAGGCTTGACTTGTGAGAGTTTGGTCCACCAGGCTGTTGCTTGGAGCGGCCCGCAGGCCCACATATACCTGGTTGATGGGGTTCTGGGAGTTGTTCTACTCCCCAAGCCCGGCCCGAGGCCAGGCTTGACTTGTGAGAGTTTGGTCCACCAGGCTGTTGCTTGGAGCGGCCCGCAGGCCCACATACCCACCACAGCCCGGTTGGTCCGGCACTCCTTGGAGGAAACTATCTAGTTTCCTCTTGAAGATGTCCACGGTTGTTCCGGCAATATTTCTTATAGTCGCTGGGAGGACGTTGAACAACCGCGGACCTCTGATGTTTATACAGTGTTCTCTGATTGTGCCTATGGCACCTCTGCTCTTCACTGGTTCTATTCTGCATTTTCTTCCATATCGTTCACTCCAGTACGTTGTTATTTAGGTTAGGTTAAGTTAGGTAAGGATAGGTTAGTTAAGTTAGGTTAGGTTAAGGTTAGGTTAGGTTAGGTAATTTTTGGTTAGGATAAGTTAGGTTATGCATGTTAGGTTAGGATAGGTAAGTTAGGTTAGGATAGGTAAGTTAGGTTAGGATAGGTAAGTTTGGTTAGGATAGGTAAGTTAGGTTAGGTTACGTTAGGTAAGGATAAGTTAGACAAAATTATCTCACTTATGGTAGGTAATTTTAAATCTTTTTCTCATATTAACTATTCTCGTGGACTTTGGAGCCCCAAGGATGAGACGCATAGCTTCATTTTGCAAGGTTTCAAGAGATTTCAGCTCTTTGTCAGTATACAGTGTGATGTAGAGCATTGTAGTCAATCACAGAGCGTATAAATGATACATAAAACATTCTAGCAAGTCTCACGTTAAGTCCATGATTGACACCAACAAGGACCCGCAAGGGCTTTAATCTCTCCCACAGTCTCCTCTTGAGAGAAGAAAGGTACCCAGGGTCGTTAATGGGGACACCAAGGTATCTGTAAGACTCGCAGTTCTCAAATGCTCGCCCATCTATATGATAATTGGCTGGTGGAATACCACATGGAATGAGGGCACGGGTTTTCTGTACAGAGATAAGGAGGCCACATTCCTCAGCTCTAGTAGCAAAAGCATCGAGCCGAACTTGCATTCTAGGCTCGGTGGCAGCCTGTAAACATATGTCATCAGCATAACAAATGACAGTGTCTTCATTATTAGTTGGAAGATCTTCAATAAGTTTATGCATCAGAACGTTGAACAACAAGGGACTGAGGACCCCTCCTTGTGGAGTTCCCAGTTCAAAGTGTTTGCTCTCTGTGCTTTTAACACCATTAAACAAAACAGGCGATGAGTCACAATAACGTGGCTAAAGTATGTTGACCAGACCACACACTAAAAGATGAAGGGACGACGACGTTTCGGTCCGTCCTGGACCATAACTTGAGACTTGTCGGTTAACTTGACAATCGACTTGAGAATGGTCCAGGACGGACCGAAACGTCGTCATCCCTTCACCTTCTAGTGTGTGGTCTGGTCAACAAACAAAACATATGCTGTTCCATTAGACAAATAGCCCATTATCCATTTCAGTAATTGTCCTTGTATTCCCAGCTCGGCAAGCTGTTCTAGTAGGATTTCCCTGTTTGCTGTAAGGTACTGGGTGGTGGAGGGGTACTGGGTGGTGGAGAGGAACTGTGTAGTGGAAGGGTACTGGGTGAGGAAGGTACGGTGAAGGCTGCCGTGTAAACTACCATACCAGTGAACACCCTTAACCATACACTGCAAGTACGACTGTGAACCTCAGCACCAAGGAGGTGGCGGCTTGACCTTCTGCGGAAGATTTCCGCGGTCTTTTTGCCATCTTGAGGAGTACGTGTTGGTGCTAAAGGAGGAGGAGGAGACCTTTACCTGACCCAACTGTGAGGGCCGGCTGGTCGGTGGCAGGTTCACCTTTGACAGGTGCTTGTCACCACCTTGGTCAGGTGTGGGTGGCATTTATATTGCTTTGTTCCTACCTGAAAATCTCTCTCTCATATCTTGAGGGGGTAAAAAAGGAGAGTATTGTGCCGGCTGAGTGGTGTGTTGTAGTGAGCACTGCACACTCTTGTACAGTCCTGGTGTGTTGGTAGTGAGCACTGCACACTCTTGTACAGTCCTGGTGTGCTACTAGTGAGCACTGCACACGCTTGCACAGCTCAGGCGCGGAAGAGTGATTGAGAACATACAGTACAATAGAACCCAAATTGCATGTGTAGCATCATGAGCAACAAGGAGCTGAGATTTGATCGAGGGAATGAATGGTGCTCAACCACTTGGGCAATTGGGGGATCGAACACAGACCTGCAAGACGTGAGGCGCCGTGGCTGAGCCGACCAGTGCAAGTGGTTACCCCCCCCCCCCTCAGGCACAAACACATTAGTAGAAAGAGTTGAGAGTGAGAAGAATGACATAGTTGTGTGTGTAAGAATGTGAGAGTAGCAGTGTGGAGGTGGTGGCAACACCGCTCTTCCCGGGGCTCTTATTAGAGCCGCGAGACTCATTACATGACTGAGCACACTTAGCGCTTACCGCTGACATTCTCACGCTTACCACTGACATTCTCTCATTTACATAAGCGCTTACCGCTGACATTCTCTCGCTTACATAAGCACTTACCGCTGACATTCTCACGCTTACATAAGCGCTTACCACTGACATTCTCTCGCTTACATAAGCGCTTACCGCTGACATTCTCACGCTTACATAATCGCTTACCGCTGACATTCTCTCGCTTACATAAGCGCTTACCGCTGACATTCTCTCGCTTACATAAGCACTTACCGCTGACATTCTCACGCTTACATAAGCGCTTACCACTGACATTCTCTCGTTTTCATAATCGCTTACCGCTGACATTCTCTCGCTTACATAAGCGCTTACCGCTGACATTATCTCGCTGACATTCTCACGCTTTCATAATCGCTTACCGCTGACATTCTCTCGCTTACATAAGCGCTTACCGCTGACATTCTCTCGCTTACATAAGTGCTTACCGCTGACATTCTCACGCTTACATAAGCACTTACCGCTGACATTATCTCGCTTACATAGTGCTTACTGCTAACATTCTCTCGGTTACATAAGCGCTTACCGCTGACATTCTCACACTTACATAAGCACTTACCGCTGACATTATCTCGCTTACATAGTACTTACTGCTAACATTCTCTCGGTTACATAAGCGCTTACCGCTGACATTCTCACACTTACATAAGCACTTACCGCTGACATTCTCACGCTTACATAAGCACTTACCGCTGACATTATCTCGCTTACATAGTGCTTACTGCTAACATTCTCTCGGTTACATAAGCGCTTACCGCTGACATTCTCTCACTTACATAAGCACTTACCGCTGACATTCTCACGCTTACATAAGCGCGTACCGCTGACATTCTCACGCTTACATAAGCGCTTACCGCTAACATTCTTACGCTTACATAAGCGCTTACCGCTGACATTCTCACGCTTATATAAGTGCTTACCACTAATACACTCACGCTTACATAAGCGCTTACCGCTAACATTCTCACGCTTACATAAGCGCTTACCACTAACATTCTCTCGCTTATATAAGCGCTTACCGCTAACATTCTCACGCTTACATAAGCACTTACCACTAACATTCTCACGCTTACATAAGCGCTTAGCGCTAATATTCTCATGCTTACATAAGCGCTTGCCGCTGACATTCTCACGCTTACATAAGCGCTTACCGCTGACATTCTCACGCTTACATAAGCGCTTACCACTGACATTCTCACGCTTACATAAGCGCTTACCACTAACATTCTCATGCTTACATAAGCACTTACCGCTAACATTCTCTTGCTTACATAAGTGCTTACCACTAACATTCTCACGCTTATATAAGCACTTACCGTTAACATTCTTACACTTACATAAGCGCTTACCGCTGACATTCTCACGCTTACATAAGCGCTTACCACTGACATTCTCACGCTTACATAAGCGCGTACCGCTGACATTCTCACGCTTACATAAGCGCTTACCACTGACATTCTCACGCTTACATAAGCGCGTACCGCTGACATTCTCACGCTTACATAAGCGCTTACCACTGACATTCTCACGCTTACATAAGCGCGTACCGCTGACATTCTCACGCTTACATAAGCGCTTACCGCTAACATTCTTACGCTTACATAAGCGCTTACCGCTGACATTCTCACGCTTATATAAGTGCTTACCACTAATACACTCACGCTTACATAAGCGCTTACCGCTAACATTCTCACGCTTACATAAGCGCTTACCACTAACATTCTCTCGCTTATATAAGCGCTTGCCGCTAACATTCTCACGCTTACATAAGCGCTTACCGCTAACATTCTCTTGCTTACATAAGTGCTTACCACTAACATTCTCACGCTTATATAAGCACTTACCGTTAACATTCTTACACTTACATAAGCGCTTACCGCTGACATTCTCACGCTTACATAAGCGCTTACCACTGACATTCTCACGCTTACATAAGCGCTTACCACTAACATTCTCATGCTTACATAGGTGCTTACCGCTAATATTCTCACGCTTACATAAGCGCTTACCACTGACATTCTCACACTTACATAAGCTCTTCCCACTAATATTCTCACGCTAACATAAGCGCTTACCGCTGACATTCTCACGCTTACATAAGCTCTTCCTGCTAACATTCTCATGCTTACATAAGCTCTTCCCGCTAATATTCTCACGCTAACATAAGCGCTTACCGCTAACATTCTCACGCTTACATAAGCGCTTACCGCTAACATTCTCTCGCTTACATAAGCGCTTACCACTTACATTCTCACGCTGACATAAGTTCACTCTCCTGCTTAAAGACGAATATATTTACTGTCAATAAAACATTTTTAATTTGAAGATTTCTCAAGAGACATGTTGTTAACTTGGAACTATTGTTGTTATTGGGCCAGGTGTGGGAGCTGTTAAGTGGTCAGAGTCAGGTGTGGGAGCTGTTAAGTGGTCAGAGTCAGGTGTGGGAGCTGTTAAGTGGTCAGAGTCAGGTGTGGGAGCTGTTAAGTGGTCAGTCAGGTGTGGGAGCTGTTAAGTGGTCAGTCAGGTGTGGGAGCTATTTAGTGGTCAGAGTCAGGTGTGGGAGCTGTTAAGTGGTCAGAGTCAGGTGTGGGAGCTGTTAAGTGGTCAGAGTCAGGTGTGGGAGCTGTTAAGTGGTCAGAGTCAGGTGTGGGAGCTGTTAAGTGGTCAGAGTTAGGTGTGGGAGCTGTTAAGTAGTCATTATCAGGTGTGGGAGCTGTTAAGTAGTCATAGTCAGGTGTGGGAGCTGTTAAGTAGTCATAGTCAAGTGTGGGAGCTGTTAAGTAGTCATAGTCAGGTGTGGGAACTGTTAACTGGTGACCACAAACACAATAACAGCTAACAGTTACACTACTATTCATAGTACGGGTTTCTAAGTACAAAAAGTAGCCATGGCTCGAGGTGGGAACATTTTTGGCAAGGTTGAAGCGGGCGGCGTGAGGGTTGGGGGGGGAGGGGTTGGAGGGGTGGAGGGGTTTTGGGGGAGGTGGGGGCGACCACGTGACCAAATGTCAACAATGACGGCAAGGCCTCACCTGACACGTGGTTTTGTTTACTTCATGGCCAGAGGTGTCGACCCGCCCTGTGGGGAATAGGCTGGGTGTTGCCGCCCTCTCTGTCCACCCTCTATCCCCTAACCCTCTGTCCCTCAGTCCTCTATCCCCTAACCCTCTGTCCCTCAGTCCTCTATCCCCTAACCCTCTGTCCCTCAGTCCTCTATCCCCTAACCCTCTGTCCCTCAGTCCTCTATCCCCTAACCCTCTGTCCCTCAGTCCTCTATCCCTTAACCCTCTGTCCCTCACTCCTCTATCTCTCTATTCATCAACTCTCATCCGTCTATCTCTCAGCCCTCTTTTCTCTATCCCTTCACCCTCTTACGTTTATCCGAACACAATCTTCATCCATCCTCTTCCACTCCAACCATCCACTCTTCCACTCCAACCATCCACTCTTCCACCCCAACCATCCACTCTTCCACTCCAACCATCCACTCTTCCACTCCAACCATCCACTCTTCCATCCCAACCATCAACTCTTCCACCCCAACCATCCACTCTTCCACCCCAACCATCCACTCTTCCACTCCAACCATCCACTCTTCCACTCCAACCATCCACTCTTCCATCCCAACCATCCACTCTTCCACCCCAACCATCCACTCTTCCACCCCAACCATCCACTCTTCCACTCCAACCATCCACTCTTCCACTCCAACCATCCACTCTTCCACCCCAACCATCCACTCTTCCACTCCAACCATCCACTCTTCCACCCCAACCATCCACTCTTCCATCCCAACCATCCACTCTTCCACCCCAACCATCCACTCTTCCATCCCAACCATCCACTCTTCCACCCCAACCATCCACTCTTCTCACAGCCTGTTCTTATCAGCAAACACCAAATGCTCGTTAACACAGTCGCTTATGAATGAATAACGGTTGACACAACCCGTCCTCACACCAAGTCCATTCCATCCAGCGGTCGACCCCACAGACGCATTCATCAATTTTAACATGCTGTTCATTCAAAATTGTAATTTTTCTCCAATATAAATTAATATTATTATATATTAGCATATTGTGCATATTTAGGTATTGGTTAGGTTAGGTGTTTAGGTTCTGTTGGTGATTATTTGTATTTGTAGTACGTGGGTGAAGCATTTATAGCTTTGTGGTTCGAACAAAATTCGTCAGTGAAGCACTTGTTCCGAATGTGTTCGAACGTCAGCAGTTGTGAGTCGTGTGTAAACCGTTTTTCACCCATAAACCAGCCCGTCCTCCAAACAAAGATCCAAAAGTGATTCCATGCACCCACCAAACCCCAGCTGTTTATGAATGAAAAGCGGTTTACACACGACTCACAACTGCTGACGTTCGAACATATCCGGAACAAGTGCTTCACTGACGACTTGTGTTCGAATCACAACGCTGTAAATGCTTCACCCACGTACTACAAATACAAATAATCACCAGCAGAACCTAAACACCTAACCTAACCTAACCTATGCCTATTTATATACAATATGCTAATATATTATAATATTAATTTATACTTGAGAAAATTCCCGTTTTAAATGAACATGTTAAAATTGATGAATGCGTCTGTGGGGTCGACCGCTGGATGGAATGGACTTGGTCTGAGGACGGGTTGGATCAGTTTAGTAGCGGGAGTATTGTGTGACTTTATATGTGTCAAGTGAAGTGTGTGTTGAGAGACTGGCTGGCTACCTGAGAAGGTTGGCCTCAAGTGCATGTCCCCAGGAGGTGAAGGTGTATCGTAGAGGCACTTAAGTACTCTTCTTCTTCTTGAGAATAGGTGCAGTTTGCATGAAGGGGTAACCCTCCCGATGACTGCACCAGGACAGATGTAAGGAGACGCGTTGATGGTAAAGAGGAGAAGAAAGTCAAAAGCGGTAGACGTGATGGGCCGTAGAGAGAGGAGTGGCGACGAAAACAGAGGCGAACGTCAGAGGGAGACTCCCCGCACCGGGGGGCGGGGCGTCATGGTCACGGTGACAGCTGATCCAGGCACGGCGTAGCGGTGCGCGCAAGACGGGAACTAATATTTCTCCGGAAACTTACGGTACGGAAAGCGCAAGCGGTACGCCTCCCAAACCACCCACAGGTCGGCGGGCAGCTTGCCATCAGGCTGGACCCTCGGCTGAGACATCCTATCCGGCACCCTATAAACAAACTCCTTCTTTGACGACACCCAGATGGTTGACGAGCACCACGGGATCGGAAGCACCCGGGCATCCCGATAAGGGCCCAACTCCGGACCCTCACAGGGCACGACCCCAGCAGACGGGACTAGGCAACCCCCAGACCGGGGCAAGGAAGGAGGGGGAACTGCAGGCGCGGCAGCGACCCCACCACAGGGCACAAGAGCCGAGGCTCCCTGGCGCACATCTTTCCGCAACTTCACAACGAGGTCCCGACCATCAGGGACAACCCCCCACTGTGGGGACCCAACAGCAGGAGACGCAGGAGGGGGGGCACAGGGAGCAACGTCGGAGCCCCTCACAGCACCATCATCCTCGGCGGGGGACGCCAGCTGAGCACCATACTCCCCCACCTCCTCCCAAGGCACACCACGAAGGGGGGAGACACTCCGAACCCGCCGCGAACGCTTCGAGACAGGCCGCACCACACCACGCCCAGCAGGCCCCGCCGCAGGCACAGCCTCCACCGTCATATCCACACAGGCCACACCCGCACCGTCCGAAGAGTCCACAGAGGCCACATCACCCACACTGTCTACATCATCCACGGAAACAGCCTCAGAACACCGACGCGCGCGCTTCTGCAAAGGAATGGGAAGAGCAGAACTACAGGAGGCAACACACTCAGGCACGACAGGCACCTCACCACGAAGCACCCCCTCCAAAACGGCAGAACCCGCGTCCCCGGGAGCCGGTAACACATCCACAGGCGGGGGCGGAACATGAACCTCCACCGGGACACCTTTCACTACACACAGCTCAGGCGACAGCCTGACACCCTCACACACCGGCTGAACAACCCCAGGGGCCACAGCTGGCACTAGACGTGTCGCACAGGCTGGAGAGCTCTCCTCAACAGGCGGAGCAGCAGACAGGCAGGCAGGCGCCTCAGGCACAGCACCAACACCGCCCGAACGCAACAGGGGCGGAAAATCCTCCGCACGAAGAACATGCACACGACCAGTCGCTCCCACGTCGCACGCAGCAGCCAGATGACCCTCGTGACCACACCGATAACAGGTGCGCGGTTGACCCCGGTACTGGCAGCGGAGCGTGTACCCCAACACGGACATCGACGACGGTACACTACCCTTCAGCGACATCGTCAGGGTGCGGGAGCCGTCAAGCATACCAACACAGTGCCCGGCAACGACCTTGTCCCAACGAACACTTAACACTGTCCCAAACCGTTCGAAACAGGAGGTTAAAAAGTCGTCCTGAAATTCGAAGGGGCACCATGCACCGCCACAGACGTCAAGGTGACACTAAGATTCACTACCTTAACGGAGCCAGCTGAATCAGGGAGAGGGTAAACACGCCCCTCACACCGCTCGAGAAACGCCTGAAAGGCAGCCTGGAGGCGGAACTTGACCACAGCACGGTGGCCCTGAAGCAGCTGGATGCCCACCAGGTCAGACAGCTGCACACGCAGCACGTCTACTAGGGCGACACCAACCAATGGATGGTCCACCGGCACCGTAAACGCCAGACCAGCTGACAGCGTCCTCTGCAATGGAGGGCGAAACGTCCCCATGGCGAAGCAAACGTCACCCCGTCAGTGGCAAACCACCACCAGCAGGGCAAACAAGCGATCACCCAACGTAAACACTAGCCAGTGCGGAGAGACCTCAGGAACGTCCGACCCGGCCGGCGGTCACCACGCAACCCCCCACTTAAGTACAAGCTTGGAGAAGCAACCTCATCCCTCTCAACAATCAAGTGCCTCTACCACAACACACTTCAGTGAGAGCTTGTGAGCGATTATACCAGTTATTTTCGTACCCCCTTGAGTCTGGGAACAGGTTAGTGGTGCGTGCACGTCGTCTCAATGGCCATTTAAACAAGCGCGGGGAAATGTGTGGTGATTCTGTGGTAGATTTTGCTAGGGAGGATAATTGATTTATTGCCCTTGCTGCCTCCTTCGTCCGAAACATCGTCGTCTCTTCAGTTTCTGGTGTGTGG